TGATAAAATATTAATGGATCGCTCAAGTATCAATTAGGTTTCTTATTTTGATTGATTGTAGTAAATGAGCATCGTCATGTTTATTAGCTAAGTGCATAGAGAATAACGTTTGAGCAAACTTTGATTACTTCATAATTTCATATTCGATGTAAGGGAACGTTGCACAACGCATGTGTCATCAGTAAATGTGTTGGAAGTTCATTAAACGAACGTATGTCACGTGAACATGATGTAAAATCGAATCACGTTAAAATGAACGAATGTTAAAGCATTAGTAATCGTAATAGTTATGCATTCAATTGAAGTCATAATTGAGTAATTATATTGTAATATATAATATAAATATGTAAAAAAAGAAAGAAAGCTAATTAGGTTTTCCTTTGCAATTTTCCTTAAGAAATAACCCCAAAATTGTTTAAATTTGCAAAATAACAGTTACAACCTATCTATTCTTAATAGATATGGTTACATTTGGTAGCAGCAGCAATAAAGATATCCTCAAACTGATCAACTGTTAAAAAAAAAAAAAAAAAAAGGGTGATGAAAGAGCCAATGTAACTAACAACAATTTCATCAATATGTTCAGGCAGTTTCTTAAAAACCAGAACCAGCTCAACCAATATCTTGTTACTACAACCTAACAACAATAAACAACTAATGATTACCTACAAATGTTAGTTACAGAATCTGCAAGAAATTCAAAAAGCATCCTTAGATCAGGAGAAGTAAAAGATTCTAAACTCAAAGGATTGAATGTTTACTTATTAGTGTTCAGTAATAAAGATGGTAAAAATGTTCTTACTTGGCTTCTGTAAATAAAACTTCTTTTTAAAGTTAAAAAAATAGAGGATGAAGAATGATTGCAGTATATAATAACTGAACTAAAAGATATGATATTACAATGATACTTGAACTTAGTTCAGAATGATGAAAGTCATCAACCATTTATGAGTTAGACAATGTTTTCTATCAGCATCAAAGTTGCATTTTAACCTTTTCATTACTAACAACTTTTAAGACATCAATTGAGAAATATAAAGCAGACATCAACAGTTCAAGAATATGCATCATGTTTCAGAAACTTATTAGAATAAATAGAAGAAATTGCTAAAACAGATAAAGTTATGTATTTTATAAAACTATTAAAGAATGTAACTAAAATAGAAGTAAATTATCATGTATCAGAAAATCTTGATAGTGCTATAAAATTAGCTGTAAGCTATAATTCAGTAATGTATGAGATAAAAACCAAGAATAGTTATACTTTAGGAAGGAATATAAAAACTACTGAACAAGAAAGTTGGAAACAATATAAAGATTATACAAAACATTAAGAAGATCCAGTATTGATTGAATTAGATAGAATAGAAAAAAGACATCCAAAGAATAACCAATCTATAAATAAAAGAAAAGAAAAAATAATATTAGTAGAAGAGCAAAAAGAAGAATTCAAAAAAAAAAGATTATGTTTTGCTTATAAGAAGAAAGAACACATAGTTAAAAACTGTCAAAACAAGAATTATACAAACAATGAAATCAATCAAATAGAAAAGATAACTCAGAAATATTTATAAAAAAAGAGAAGAAGATAATGAAATTCTTCTAAAATCAAAAGAAAAGGATAACAGAATTTGTAAAAACTTTCTAAAGATAGAAGAAAAAATACAAAGTCAAAATGCATTGATCCTAATAGATTCTGAAGCATCTAAAGATTTTATAGATGAAAAGTTTAGTAAAAAAATACAATTAAAGATGAAAGAAGAAAGTACATCTATTACAATTGAGTTGGTAAATGATTCCTGATGTGAATTAAAAAGAAGCATTTTGAATATTAAAATTGAAATGCAAGATTATATAGACCTAAGTAGAGATATAGAAGTCTTATTATTTATTTTGAAAAAACTATGGCTTTATGATTTAAATCTAAGAATTAATTGGAAAAATAATAAAATCATGATAAAAAAAGGTAACCAAATTCATGAAATTATGACAAAAGCAAAAGACACAAAGGAATATTAAACAAGTCTTGTATCCAGACAACAATTTGTCTAAGAAAGCAAGAGCACTGCAGAGTTATACACTATACTTGTAACAAAAAAAACAAAAAAAGAAACTCAGACTGAAAGAGTGTCAAGTTTTTAAAGGAACTAGTAAAACAGTACCGAAACATATTTCCTATAAAAATATTTAATGAACTCTACCAAAAAGAAATATAGATCATGAAATACTGTTACAAGAAAGAATGTCTCCATCATACAGACCTATATACAAAATATCAATTCCAGAAATAAAGAGTTAAAAAAACAGATTGAAGATTATATGAAAAATGACTTAATTAGACCAAGCACTTTACTATATAGAGCACCTGTATTATTTGTAGTTAAAAAAGAAGGAATACTGAGAATGTGTATTGATTATCATACACTAAATAAAATAACAATTAAAAATCGATATCCTTTACAACATATTGATGAATTGTTAGATCAGTTGCATGGTGCTAAATATTTCAGCAAAATAGATCTTCATTTGGGATATTACCAAATAAGAATAAAAAAGAAAGACATATTTAAGACTGCTTTTAGAACTCATTATGGACATTTCGAATTTTTAGTCATGCCATTTGGCTTGACTAATGCTTCTGCTTCATTCATGAGACTAATGAATGATATTTTTCGAGAACAACTAGATAAAAGTATTATAGTCTACTTAGATAATATTTTGGTATATAGTAAGACAAAGAAGACCACTGTATGCATCTAAAAGAAGTATTTAAAATTTTAAAACACCACAAATTATATAGAAAAATGAAAAAATATAAATTGGGAAAAGAAGAAATAGAATTCTTAGAACATGTGATCTCATATAAAGAAATAAAAGTCAACTCTAAAAAAATAAAAACAATACAAGATTGGCCAATACTTACAAATATAAATAATCTTAGATCATTTCTAGGTCTTTTAATTTATTACAAAAAATTCATAACAAATTTTTCAAATATTGCAACTTTACTAATAAAACTACTAAAAAAAGACACAAAGTTTGAATAAAAGGAATCTTAGAAAAAGGCATTTGAGAATATTAAAAAAATATTAACATCTGCTCCAGTTCTAATAGTTACAGACCATAATAAACTGTTTATACTTACAACTGATGCTTTAAACACTGCAATTGATGCAGTATTATGCCAGGACCAAGGATCAGAAAAATGACTGATAGCATATAAATTAAGAAAATTAATTCTCATATAATTATATTATCCAATTCATAAAAAAGAACTTTTGGTAATAATTCATGTATTAAAAATTTAGTGTATATATATAGAAGAAAATATCTTTCAAATTATAACTGATCATAAATCATTAAAATATCTACAATCTCAAATAAACTTATTATGAAGATAAGCCCATTAGGTTGAAACTCTACAAGCTTATAATTATATTATCAAATATCAATCAGGAAAAACCAACATAGTAGCAGATGCATTGTCAAGAAAATCTGAAGCAAACATAATAATAGAAGTTAGTATCAGAAAAGATATATATGAAAAAATTAAAGAAGAATATAAGGAATATACTTATTTCAAAAGAATATTGAAACCATTAAAAGTCTCTAAATGTGATGAAACTAGACAATTAGGAAAACAGATAAGTAGATTTGAAATAAAAGAAAATGAATTACTTTTTTTTAGAGAATGTATAGAAGAATCAAGATTATATATAACAAAAGAATCCAAAGAATGAAAACTATTACTAAGAAAAAGTCATGATTTAAATAGACATTTTGAATTCAAGAAAACTTATGAAGGATTAAGATGAAGTTATTATTGAAAAGAAATAAGCAAAGATGTAAAGAAATACATAAAACAAAGTAATAGCTAGCAAAAAAATAAAAGTATAACACAAGTTTCAGTAGAATTACTACAATCTTTAGAAATTCTGTCACAAACTTGAAAAATTGTATTAATAGATTTTATAACACATCTACCATATACAAAAAATGGAAATAATTTAAGAGATAAATCATAGTTGAAGAGTTAAAAAAATGCCAAATCTTATAATAAACAAAATCAGAATTTAATATGAACTTTCTATAATGCAGGAATGTAACTGGATTACATATAAAAGTATTTTTTTATTAAGTTAACCTTCTTTTGGCTTCTAATTAAAGTTGTAGAACTATGTTTTCTGATTCTAATAGTAATAAAATTATCAAAATCGGTTTAGTAGATTCTGAGATATTAGTATTTTTATTTTTTTTATTATACGATTTTTATTATTGCAAAAAACTTTCAGCATTCCACTTACTATATAAGGCAACTAGTAAATGCTTGCTGATTTTTACTATGAAATTTATACCCTTTAACTGTGGACTACCCCTTAATAATAATAGTGGTAAATAATTTAAACAAGAAAGCTCATTTCATACCTACCAGAAGTTCTGCAATGATAGCTGAAGTTATCTAAATTTTCTTCAAAGAAATTTTCAAACACCATGAGCTACTATGCTTTATAGTTTCTGATAGAGACCCAAAATTCATTAGTAAATTTTGAAAAAGTCTTTTTAAAATAATAGGAACAGAACTAAAGATGTCAACAGCAGTATACCTATAAACAGATAGCTAGACAAAATGCACTAACAAAATTCTTGAAGAAGTTTTATATACATATATGAATTACAAGCAAAACAATTAGGAAGAAATATTACTAGCAGCAGAATTTGTATATAATAACTTACTACAAAGATCTATAGAATATATGCTATTTCAATTAGATAATGAACATCATTCAAGAACACTATTAAGTTTAACAAATAAAAAACTAAAATTGACAAATATGAAAGCTGCATAAGAATTACTCAAACATTGGACTAAAATAATGAATGTAGCAAAAGATTTATTGGTAAATGCTCAAGAAAAACAAAGTAATCAAGTTAACAAAAAATAATGTTATCTGAAATTAAAAGAAGGAGACTTAGTAATATTAAACACAATAAATTTAATTCTACAAGAAAGTAGAAAAAAGTCATCAAAGAAACTTATTTCAAAATTTATAGATCTTTTTAAAATCATTCAGAAAATTTCAGCAGTAGCTTTCTGATTAGAACTTCCTGAAATTCTATATATTCATCTAGTTTTCCATATATCCTTATTAAAACTATATTATACCAGTAAGTTTGAAGACAAAGAAACTATTGAATCAACTTCAAATATAGTAGATAAAACCTTTGAACAAGAAGTTGAAGCTATATTAGACAAAAGAACTTATTATTGCCATATACAATACTTAGTAAAATAGAAAGGACAGCTGTTGTATAATGTGACATGAGAACTCTTGAATAATTTTAAAAATTATAAGGACCTGATAAAAAAGTTCGAAAAATGTAGTGAAACTGTTTTAAATAGATGAGAATATAAAAAAATATTGTACAACACACATGTCATCAGTAAATGTATTGGAAGTTCATTAAACAAACATATATTACATAAACATGATATAAAATTAGAATCACATTAAAATAAGTGAACATTAAAGCATTAGTAATCATAATAGTTATGCATTCAATTGAAGTCATAATTAAGTAATTATATTGTAATTAGAAGTGGGTCGATTATGATTATGACTGGTCATAACTGTAACTAATATCATTCAGTCATAGGTTTGTAACCGATCAGCCAAAATCCTGACCAATACTATTTTAGTAATATTATTATCAAATAATAAGCAATTTGAAAATAGTAAGTTTAAATTATTTTTTCTTGATGTTAATCATATATAGAAATTGGTGTTAATCATATATAGTGTTAACCTACAAAAATGACCATAACTCTTGAACTACTGGACAGAATTCGATGAAACCACCACCATTTGAATCAGCTCACTGAGACGGTTCTAATGAGGTATAGATTATCCATTTCCAATCACAGGATCACAAGATCGAATCTGATAACCAAATTAATAAGAAAGCTGCGATCTGATTGGTTGAATAATTACTGCGCGAAATGTTATACATATCAAACATATAGCATTTATATGATTTGAAGCATCT